GGATGCAAGTATTCTTCAGTGTATGCAAATCAATGTGACATACCATATTAAGAAATTGAAACATAAAAATCATATGATAATCTCAAAAGATGCAGAAAAAACTTTTGACAAAATTAAACACCAATTTGTGTTTAAAAAAAAAAAAAACTCTTCAGAAAATGGGCACAGAAGAAAGCTAGCTCAATGTAAGAAGGGCTATACAGGACAACCCTCAACCTTCATTCTTCTTGTGTGTGCATGCCAAGTCGCTTCAGCCATGTCTGACTCTGCAACCCAATGAACTGTAGCTCGCCAGGCTCCTCTATCCATGGTATTCTCCAGGCAAGAATACTCAGGTGGGTCGCCATGCCCCCCTCTAAGGGTCTTCTCAAGCCAGGGTCAAACCTGCATCTCTCTCTTACATCTCTTGCACTGGAAAGTGGGTTCTTTACCACCAGTGCCACCTGGGGTGAAGAAAATGAAAGCATTTTCTCTAAGATCAGGAGCAAGACAAGGATGCCCACTCTCCCCACTATTATTCAACACAGGTTTTGAAGTCCTAGCCATATTGATCAGAGAAGAAAAATAAATAAAAGGAATCCAGATTGGAAAAGAAGTAAAACTCTCACTGCTTGCAGATGAACTAACAATAGACATAGAAAATCCTAAAGATACTATCAGAAAATTACTAGAGCTAATCAATGAATTTAGTAAAGTCACAGGATACAAAATCAATACACAGAAAACTTTTGTATTTCTCTACACTAACAACAAAAAATCAGAAAGAGACATTAAGGAATCAATCCCATTCATCATTGCAACAAAAAGAATAAAATACCTAGGAATAAACCTAATTAAGGAGACAAAAGACCTGTATACAGAACACTATAAGATATTCATGAAAGAAATCAAAGATGAAAGAAACAGATGGAGAAAGATATCATGTTCGTTGGATTGAAAGAATCAATATTGTGAAAATGATTATACTACCCCAAACAATCTACAGGTTCAATACAACCCCTATCAAATTACCAACGGCATTTTTCACAGAACCAGAACAAAAAAATTCACAATTTTTATGGAAACACAAAAGATCCTGAAAAGCCAAAGCAATCTTGAGAAAGAAAACTAGAGCTGGAGGAATCAGCCTTTCTGACTTCAGACTATACGACAAAGCTACAATCATCAAGACAGTATGGTACTGGCACAAAAGAAATACAGACCAATGGAACGAGAGAGAAAGCCCAGAGATTGACACAAGCACCTATGGGTACCTTTGACAAAGATGGCAAGAAAATCTCTTCAATAAGTGGTGCTGGGAAAACTGGACACTTATATGTAAAAGAATAAAAGTAGAACACTTCCTAACACCATACATTAAAATAAACTCAATAAGTGGTGCTGGGAAAACTGGCCACTTACATGTAAAAGAATAAAATTAGAACACTTCCTAACACCATACACTAAAATAAACTCAAAATGCATTAAAGACCTAACTGTAAGACCAGAAAGTATAAAACTCTTAAGAGGAAAATGGGCAGTACACTCGTTGACATAAATTGCAGCAAGATTCTCTATGACCCACCTCCTGGAGTAATGGAAATAAAAACAAAAATAAACAAATGAGACCTAATTAAACTTGGAAGCTTTTGCATAGCAAAGAAAGCCATAAACAAGATGAAAAGACAACCTTCAGAATGGGAGAAAATAAGTGTAAATGAAGCAACTGACAAAGGATTAATCTCTACAAGCAACTCATGCAGCTTAATATCAGAAAAACAAATAACCCAATCAAATGAGCAGAAGACCTAAAAAGACATCCAAAGAAGACATACAGATGGCCAATAAACACACGAAAATGTTAAAAAAAAAAATGCTAAACATTGTTCATTATGAGAGAAATGCAAATCAAAACTACAATGAGGTATCACCTCACACCAATCAGAATGACCATCATCAAAAAATCTACAAACAATAAATGCTGGAGAGGATGTGGAGAAAAGGGAACTCTACTGCACTGGAATGTGAATTGATCACTATGGAGAATAGTATGGAAATTACCTAAAAAAATAAAACTAGGAATAAAACTACTATATGATCCAAGGATCCCACTACTGGGCATATACCCTGAGAAAACCATAATTCAAAAAGGCACATGTACCCCAAATGGTCACTGCAGCAGTATTTACAATAGCCAGGACATGGAAGCAACCTAGATGTCCATCAACAGATTACTGGATAGAGAAGTAGTGCTATACATACATACATACACACACACACACACGCACGCACGCACGCACACATGTGCACGCACACACACACAATGGAGTATTATCCAGCCATAAAAAGGAACTAATCTGAGTCAGTTCTAGTGAGGTGGGTGAACCTAAAGCCTGTTACACAGGATGAAGTAAGTCAGAAAGAGAAAAACAAATATCATATATTAATGCACGTATATGGGATCTAGAAAAATGGTACTGACGAACCGATTTGCAGGGCTGGAACAGAGATGCAGTCATAGAAAGGAGACTTGTAGACATGGTAAAGGGGAAGGAAAGGGGGGACGAACTGAGAGGGTAGCACTGAAACATATACGTTACCACGTGTAAAACAGAGAGCTCGTAGGAAGCTCTTATATAACACAGGGACCGCGCCCCAGTGCTCTGTGACAATCTAAACGGGTGGGAAGGGGTAAGGTGGTAGGGAGGCTCAAGAGGAAGCGGACATATGTAAACTTATGGCTGATTCACGTTGTTGTATGGCCAAAAGCAATAAAACATTGTAAAGCAATTATCCTCCAGTTAAAAATAAATCTAAAAGAAAAGCCCAGACCAAGGCTTATACTTTTCTATGTCCCACCTGTGATGCCCACAGTGAGGTAGCTGAAGTTTGGGCTCACTAAATCTCCATTTAACAATACAGTCCTCTGTATCTGTGGGTTCCACCTCTGCAAATTCAACCAATCACGGATTGAACATATTTGGAAAAAAATTTCAGCAAGTTCCAAAATGCGTAACTTGAGTTTGCTGAACACTGGCAACTATTTACATTGCATTTACAATTATTCATATAGTGTTTATATTGTATTAGTTATCATAAGTAATCTAGAGATGCTTTGGAGGATGTGCAGATGTGCCTAGGTGATATGGAAACATCATTTTGTATAAAGGACTTGAGCATCCTCAGATTTTGGTATCTGCTGTTATTTTGGAACCAATACCCCACAGATACCAAGGGATGACTGTAATGACACTGAGGTCTTTATGAACTGATTTAACCAGTATTTTTATTCATAAAGGTAACAGTTGCGCCCTCAAGAGCCTTGGGAAATAGAGAGAGACTGAGGGCATTTTCCAGATTTATTTAAAAGGAAAGTCAAGATTAACGGGTAAGAAATTTGGCCAAAGTTAAAGAAATGGCTGAAACACAGCTGGACCAAGAGTGTACTCATTTTACAAAAGAAAATGTTTAATAACTAAACTCCAGTCCCTCTGACAAACTTACCCTTACCCCTCAACTCAGTATTTTTCTGCACTAAACGAAAGGGACCTCCCTTGTAGCTTAGTCAGTTAACAATCTGCCTGCAACGCAGGAGACCAGGGTTCGATCCCTGGCTCAGGAAGATTCCCTGGAGAAGGAAATGGCAACCCACTCCAGTGTTCTTGCCTGGAGAGTCCCATGAACAGAGGAGTCTGGCAGGCTACAGTCCATGGGGTTGCAAGAGTTGGACACGACATAGCAACTAAACTGGTGCCACCAAATGAAAGGCGCTATGCATCAGCACTCAAGTGCAAAGCCAAAGGTAATTACTCAAATTATCTGGAAAACTCCTGTATTACTTTCTTCCCATTGCTAAAGCAGATGTGCCCTTAGTATCCAGGGCAAACCCATTAAGATTTTAACAGTTGAAAGTCAGAGAAAGGGAAATGCATAAAAAGAACCTTAGAAGCTTTACACTGAATGGTGAGAAGAAGCTACAAAGTGTCAACGACCCAGAAGCAGAATTGATTTTGTTTTTGATCCAAACTGTGTCCCTGTAACTGCTATAATCTACAGGCTCAGTGCTTTAACTAATGTGCTATTTCCGGCCACAGGAAGGAATTGGGTAGTCATTAGAAAACTGTCACATAAATAGCCACTTACCAGCTCACCTGGGGAGTATAATGGTGGACAAGTAGTAAAGAATGCCAACTTTAGTTTTCTCCTGTAAAATCTCTGAGGGAAGGGGCAAGCTGGTAAATTTCCTGACCATTCAACCCTTAATTAGTCATACAAGTAGATCCAAGAAGAGTCACAGAGAAGTCAAAATGAATAACAATAATTTAAAAAAACCTTTTATAAACAGCTTTGTAATGAATTCAGATACTTCTAGCTACCTTCTTTCCTTAAATGACAGAGGGACCACAAGCCTGAAAAATGGTAGAGCACAGAGGTCAAATACATTAGTCTTGGAGTCATGGGACCAAAGTCTAAGTACTTGAATGGAAAGTCACTAGTCCTATAACCTCAGGCACACTAACAATTTTCCATTCCCTCATCTGTAAAATGAGGAAGCTAAAACTAACTGCCTTACCAGTTTGTGGAGGAGATTAAATGATACAAAGCATTTGTAGTATTCAGGACAGCACTTGGCAAATAATAAATATGTCTTTCAGTACTGTTAGAGTTTAAGGACTGAATTAAAATCAGCAGGAGAAGGGAAAGAAAGAGGATGTACTCACAGTCAAGTGTATTGCAAAGTGATATACAACTCACTTGAAGGCCAACTGCTACTCCTCTAAAAATATCTGGGGAACATTCATGTTCCGTAATTGCTTCTGTGAAAAGCAAGGTTTTTAACCAGCTACCTATTCTAGGAAAGCAAGAAGAGAAATTTGATTTTCTTCCTACCTAAAAAGGTTTCCCCCCTGTTTCTGGAAGCCTCGTTGGTCACTTGTCACACGGGTAGGGAACCATGCATCACCCTAATAGAAGCCTCTAAGGCTACCTAACCAGCAGAGAGGGTGGAACTCATACATTACCTGCGCCCAGTGGTTTTTAAATACAATCATGCATGTTTCTGGGTCAACTCCCTGCAGGCTCACCGCCCTCTGGATTTTGCTCTCTGTCGCAACAGATGACATCATAAGCTTTCATAAATCAAATGCTCCTAAGTCATATTTAATTTTCATGAAAATTTGGTAGGCAGCCACTAATTTTCAAGTATCACAGTAGAAATGTAACTTCTTCACATTTCATTGTCACCTTCTGAAACCTGTAATGACAATAACAAAAAAAAACCAAATTCCATTACATTCATATATTAAATATGATATGATTAAATTAAAATCAAAGCATAGACATTCTCAAAGTCCAGCACTGAGCAAAATATCTACAAAATAGACATTTAAGCTCAATCCAAAGCCTTTCTTATATTTTTATCTCACTTTGCTACTAAAAATATAAAATGATGCTACCAAAGCTACGTGAATAAATTCAAAAATTATTGAGTTTATTCTCTCTACTACCATCAACCACAACCCCCTAGATTACTATTCTAAACCATTCAAATCTAGTTTCAAGCAATAAACTATGATTATCAATGTTGGTGGTGTTTAAAAACACCAAGAAACAGAAAAATCTTTAGTTAATAATGACTAAAATAAATAGCTTGCTATAACCTAGGGCAGTTATGGCACAGCACCCAGACTGCCGCGTCCAATAATAACAATTTTTTAAAATCAATGACTTTCATAATGGAATTTAAAACATTCTCAGTCATTTCGTGGCTACAAACTAAGTTAAGGTTTCTAACTTCCCTGAAAAATAAATATAAAAATAGAATTCCAAGTAACCTGGACAGATCAGAAACGATCCATCAAAAACAAGGTAGTGTTTACCTAGTGTAAGTAAAGCACAGCACGCTTATCAATTAAAGTAGCCGTATTATTTATCAATGAAAAATGAATTATGTGGATAAAATACAGAGAAAGTCAAGGCTCCAACAAAGTCAGTGAGGAGAAAAAAAGATACTGAGGTCACAGAACAAACAGGGAATGTTGTATCCAGTTGTGTGGAGCTAACTCTGACAAAAGCAGTAAGGTATTAGTATTATCTCCTCAGTTTCGCCAGCCCATAGGGCTGAGTACAGGCAAGGGAGTGCCAGACCACCTTACCCGACTCCTGAAAAACTTGTGCGTCAAGAACGAACAGTTGGAACTGGACATGGAGCAACTGACTGGTTCAAAACTGGGAAAGGAGTACATCAAGGCTATATATAGTCACCTTGCTTATTTGACTCATATGAAGAATGCATCACGTGAAATACCAGGCTGGATGAAGCACAAGCTGGAATCAAGATTGCTGGGAGAAATATCAATAACTTCAGATGTGCAGATGAGACCACTATAATGGTAAAAAGTGAAGAGGAACTAAAGAGCCTCTTGATGAAGGTGAAAGAGGAGAGTGAAAAAGCTGGCTTGAAACTCAACCCTCAAAACACTAGGATCATGGCATCTGGTCCCGTCACTTCATGGCACATGTAAGGGAGAAGAGTAGAAGCAGTGACAGATTTTATTTCCTTGGGCTCCAAAATCACTGCAGTCATGAGATTAAAAGATGCTCCTTGGAAGGACAACTATGACAAACCAAGACAGTGTATTAAAAAGTAGACATATCATTTTGCCAACAAAGGTCTGAATAGTCAAAGCTATAGTTTTTCCAGCAGTCATGTATGGATGCGAGAGTTGGATCATAAGGAAGGCTGAGCACCGAAGAACTGATGCTTTTCAACTGTGGTGTTGAAGACTCCTGAAAGTCTTCTGGACTGCAAGGAGATTAAACCAGGCAATCCGTAACGATAACCCTATATGCAAAACAGAAAAAGAGACACAGATGTATAGAACAGACTTGTGGACTCTGTGGGAGAAGGCGAGGGTGGGATGTTTCAAGAGAACAGCATCGAAACATGTATATTATCTAGGGTGAAACAGATCAACAGCCCAGGTTGGAAGCATGAGCCAAGTGCTCGGGCCTGGTGCACTGGGAAGACCCAGAGGGATCGGGTGGAGAGGGAGGTGGGAGGGGGGACCGGGATGGGGAATACATGTAAATCCATGGTTAATTCATTTCAATATATGACAAAGACCACTGCAATGTTGTAAAGTAATTAGCCTCCAACTAATAAAAATAAATGGAAAAAAAAATAAACCAGGTAATCCTAAACGAAATCAACCCTGAATATTTATTGATGCTGAAGCTGAAACTCCAATACTTTGGCCACCTGATGCAAAGAGCTGACTCTCTGGAAAAGCCTCTGATGCTGAGAAAGACTGAAGGGAAACTGAGAAGGGGAGAGCAGAGGATGAGATGGCTAGATAGCATCACCAACTCAATGGACATGAATTTGAGCAAACTCCAGGAGATAGTGAAGGACAGGAAAGCCTGGTGTACTACAGTCCCTGGGGTCGCAAAGCGTCAGAGATGACAGAGCAACTGAACAACAATAGTTCAAAATGGTTGGGTTGGTTTTTTTTGTTTGTTTGTTTGTTTGTTTTTGTGTACAGACTAGAGAGAGTACAGGGGAAAGGAATTATAATTCTCAGAGCACTGAAAAACAAATTCCATGATAAAATTTCCAGACGTACAGTGACAAAAGTGTGTTTCTGTTTTTTTTTTTAAGAGGCTATTTTCTTTCTTTCTTTTTTCAATATCTATTTTTGTGGCTGCACTGGGTCTTAGTTGCAGCAGGTGGGATTTTTAGTTGTGGCATGCAAACTCTTAACTGCAGCATGCAGGGTCTAGTCCTCTGACCAGGGATGGAACCCAGTTCCCTTGCACTGGGAGCACAGAGCACTTGCCACTGGACCACCAGTGAAGTCCCAAGACACTATTTTCAGCTGAGTAACGTGAAAGGTATTACAGGAAGAACACTGATCAAACTGATCAACTGTTCCTCCTGTGAACAATGAAATGTGAGAGGGGACTTAAGGTGACGTTCAGGCTAGACTTACAAGTTCTTTGTGGGATGTAGAGCGAAACACTGGAAGACAGGTAAAGGAATATGCAAAACAGGTACTGGGCTGACCAAAGCGCTCATTCAGGCTTTCCATGGGCTCTTACGGAACCAAATGAATGCTTTGGTCAACGCCATGTTTCTGCTGGGGGGCGCAGAAGATGCTCCAGCCAACATCAAGAGAGCTTTAAAATAAATTTTAGTACATAAGAATAGAAAACTTGTAAGAATTAGTCATTTGAGGAAAGAAATGCTTTTTAAGGAGAACGTCAGAGGAATAGGTACTCAGAAAAAGAGAGGCCTGCTGGAAGGAGGACTGTATACCTGATATACCTGAAAGGAACAGCTAAATTCTATCTTCCATGATTTAGTGAAGTCGCTCAGTCATGTCCGACTCTTTGCGACCCCATGGACTGTAGCCTACCAGGCTCCTCCATCCATGGAATTTTCCAGGCAAGAGTACTGGAGTGGGTTGCCATTTCCTTCTCCGGGGGATCTTCCTGACCCAGGGATCGAACCCAGGTCTCCCGCATTGCAGGCAGACGCTTTACCGTCTGAGCCACCAGGGAAGCCCATCTTCCATGACTATTTGTTTTATTATGTAAATTGGTGAGTTCCCCAATGTATAATTCTTAATAATACAAATGCACTTTCAATGAGACACTGTCCGATGACAATCATGGCTCTCTGCCACTGAGAGGCATATTTCAATGGCCCAGCTGGTGTTTAAACATCAGGAATGGCCGTCCACACACACACATACAGGTACATGTTCAAACTCACACACACACACGCATGCACGCACACTGCCTGTGGTCCTCCCGCCTCACCCTGGTTAGCAGGCTAGCCCTTCTAGACAACATCTCAGTGTGCAGCCTTGTTTTAAGTGATACGAGATAAAGCAAATTCTGATTCAACTTCCTTGTTGTCCTAAATACTGTATCTCTTTGAAAATGCCCTGGTCTCTTATTTGGATGATAACAACAAGGAAATCAGAGTGTCTGGGGTTTTTTCAGAGGCTGAAAAAGTAGAAGACTCTCTCAGATGCCTTCCAGCTCCAGGATTCTCAGATTCTTCCTCGAAGGCGTTAAGGGAACATAAACCATGCCAACTGCCTCTAAACCAAAAATAGAAACGTGCTTTCTAAGATGCTTTACGTTAGTTCTCAAAGGGACTTCACATGCCGGTTTTTCAAATAACAGACAGGACAAATATCTTAGCCAAGGCCACAATCTTACTAGTTAGATCCTTTTTTTTTTAATATTTAAAAATATTTCTTCATCTCCACTGCTACCACCTTAGCCCAAACATCCCTTGTCTCTGATCAGACCTATTACAACTGCTTCTTTTTTTTATAAGTATTTATTTATTTGTGCCAAGTCCTAGATGCAGCATATGGGATCTAGCTCCCTGACCGTGGATGGAATCTGGGCCCTGCTGCATCGTGAGCGCGGGGTCTCAGCCACTGGACCAGCAGGGAAGTCCTGCAGGTTTGTTCTGATAGAGATAGAAATGTCTCTTGACTCCCAGTCCAGTGTTCTTTCTAGAAACTATATTCTCCTTTGTAATGCTTGTAATCCCTGACCCTAGTCCCTTAAGGAAACTGTATCTTCTCTGAGAAAAACACATTTCACTTGGTTGATGCTTATCCAGTCATACTCTTGAGGCAGATGCCTGGAAAATATAAATACGCCATGATTATAGAAACCACAACATCGAGAGAACTTGTGAGAGAAAGGAGAAGGGGAGGCAAGTCCAGAAAGTCATGTTTGGGACAGGAAAGGCCATATCAGGAGCCCCTGTCAATGAAAACACCACCCAGCACCCAGAGGCCAGGTGGGTCTTCCCACACTTTCTCATTCCCAGGTTAGAGTGGCGAACGGCTGGCACGGCCCCCGGACAGTGTAGAACTGACGGCGGCGGTTCCATACTTGTGAGTGATGTGTAAGAACGTATTTCCTCAAGCATCAAGTTTTCAACCTGTTTCTGCATTTTCCCATTATCAGCCTTTCCTTTTTCCAATTCCAAGCTTTTTCTTTAACTCTCAAATAACAGCTAAACTCCCAAGTGAAGACAGAGGACAACACTAAGCAAAAGGCTGTGAGCAGACAGGAGAGGCTACAGGTGTGAGAT